TATATATATAAAGAAACTCTCTTATACATTTTTACATTCTACTTATATACACTTTACATTTTTGTAATATTTTAAATGTATAAAAAGATATAAACAGTAATAGCACTTTAAAAAAAACTTAGAATACATATTCCAGCAACAAATAATCTTAGGGAAAAAGAAACTCGTTGGTGACAGTTGGCTCTGGACTTTGGCTGGAACTAGCGGAACTAAGAGTCTCATCTTTTATTTTCAAAGCGGATGAATCCTTGTCCTTTTTATTATCCTTCTCTTTATCTTTACCCTTATCCTTTTCCTTCTTCTCCTTCTCCTTATTATGCTTATGATCATGTTTATGCTTATGTTTATGTTTGTGCTTTTTCTTATCCTTTTTCTTCTTTTTACTCTGTAAGAAGCATAGTGATACATGACAAATTTAAAGTATTTTTTATTTATAACATATTAAAAATAATCATATATTGTATAAAAATATCTTTTACTATACAAAAAGTTTTACATACCTTATTAACAGAGTCACTTTTTAGTTTATGCTCGTCTGGATCCTTTTTAAACATCCCTGGTTCGAAACCTACTGGACCAGGAGTTCCCATGATACCAGGCAATGATGCAGAATTATCGCTATAGTATTCGGATTTTACTTTTCCTTCACCAGGTATCGGAATTCCCCGTTCATCTTGCTACAAGAACAAATCGATTTGATTTATGCCAACAATGACAAAAGAGAAGAAAGAAAAAATTAATTTCTCATACATTGTTTGCTATCTTCTGTCGTTTTATTTCTGTCCCATGCTCTGCTGAATTTGGTGGACCAGTAGGATCCCTATTTGGAGATGCTTTTCTCTTGTTCGGACCAGGTGAGTTCTCAATTTCATCGATTGTTTCGTGTCTTACATGTTGCACTGGTACAGGTTTCACCTAAAGCAGAGAGAATGTATTACAATAAAGAAAATTTTATAATTGCATAAAACGTAAAAATGTTGAATGAATATCTTACTTCGCGTTCAGGACTTGGTGGGCCAGCTTTCCTAGGTTTCATAATCGTCGCGAGTTCGGGAATGGGAAGACAAAATGGAACTTTTGTACCGTACAGACTATAATACAAATCCACTAAATCGCAACGCAGTTTTGCATCGTGCGATAACATACCGCTACATGACAAAATTATATGTTAATTAATTGACTGGTAATGTAAAAAAGAAAAGTAATTTACACAAGAAAAATTGAAGTATTGCCGCACTTGATCAAGTTCCATATACGGTCAACTAAATCTGGTTTATCCAGGCGGTGTTTGTGAGCTCTCTCGAATGGTGGATTTTCTACCATTAAGCGTACAAGTCTATGACGTATACCAGGATGCGGATCCATTTCCGCCATGTCCATTAGGAATTCCAAGTCCTCCCACTTACCATCTACACGAGTAAAATCGACCAGAGCTTCTAACGCCGCGATTCGAACGTCTGAAAAATATCAATTAATTATCAAGAATATTGGCAACTAAAAAAAAAAAAGAGATATCAATGTAATTATTGAAGTCTGAAATATTACCTATAAATTGCCCGTAAGCTGCATATGCCCTAAAAATATGAGGATTGCTTGGAAGATGACCAAACTTTTGTAGAATACGTATAACTTTCAGACAAGCTACACTGACAGTATATTTGTAGCAGGGTAATAATTTTTCCAAGTTCAAGTTTCTTGTGACCTCTTCTAGAATGGCTTTTGTGTCAATTGACAAAGACTCTGCTGTGATAGCTGTTCTGTAATGACAAAAAATTCTGTAATGATAAAAAAATATATCTGATGGGATGATAATTAGCTTTATATCAGAACTATTGCTTTAGTTGATAATCGACAGTCCTGGATTTGATTCTAAATAGTCATCCTATATATCTCTAATTATTTGCAATAAGGCGCAATAAACTTTATCTGGCAGAGTACTGCAGACGGATAAAATCACCTCCACAATTATATACATGTATACAAGTATTTTTATCGCATAATCAGATCTACAGTGTATATGAATAAAAATTCGAATGTCATACCCCTGTTGCACACTGATAACTGGTGTAACAGTCGCACCTAAAGCCTCTATTAACGCGGCTCTGTAATAATTGTCGGAATATCTATTCTTGCTGTTGTCATTATACTTGAAGAGATCCATTAAGAAAGCCAGAACTTCCGGTGGACAAATACCATGGGCGTTGCGTAATCCCGCCATTGCAACCGGTATAGTCTGTAAACAGATTCAAAGTTCAGAAAAAAATTTTATAATTAAGATATACATCTCTCTTAATCCCAATACATAAGTATGGAATATATGTTAACTTGCGAAATATATATTAACCTTTTGTAGAAAGTAATGTTGAAAATTCGAAAAGTTGTTCTGCTTAATAATTCGTCGACAGGACGCCGATCCAAATAATTTTCTAAATATGGCTAACATTGCCGGTGGGCCCGCCCACGTTGCTACCATAGCATTAGCTACCTGTAAACATATATATAAGTAAAATTGAATTAAATAAGTAAATATTTAATAATGACTGACCTTTGTCAAACAATGAGCAGCGCGAAGTCTAACTTTATAGTAACAGTGTTCGTTCTCGATTGTATCGGTCAATGCCAATCGTGTAGCAGGTGTTGAATGATGCTGCAAAGCTACGATTGCTTCTAATTGTGCAGTAACATCTCTCTCGTGTCTCAATTGATATTGCCATTGATAATCGGGTTGCTCAATCTGCACAGCGCGCATGATTGTCATTTCAGGATCAAGTCTGATCCATAATACTGGGGAGTCACTATAAATAAGCAATTAACTCTTTTAAAAGATTTTTGCAAAAAGATAATACAACTCTCATATGTCTTTACAATTATTCGTGTAAAGTCTATAATAAAATTATCTTACTCCATAGCAGAGAGATCCATATCAACCTCTTCACCAGTACATAATGGAATCTTCTTTTTCTTATTTCTACGGCTTTTACTATGGCATGTGATATCCGCCCTGGCCATTGTACCTTCAATTTGTAAAGTATGCTTAAAGGTACCATCGAGTTCTTGAATATTGACTACTAACGGACCCACATATTTCCTGATTCCTCTTTGATGAGCAGTGTCTTGTCTAATTTCTAACTCCACTGTATTTCTATATTATGTATATATGTCATATTTTAATATATATACATACATACAGAGTGTAAGTGAAATGATAGTATATGCAATTAATTTAAAATAGAAAAGCACCTTTTTCTGTTAAATACAAAACTTAAGCTGAATTTTGCATGTCCTCCTGTTCTGACCCATTGATCTATGAATACTGACATATCTTTGCCTGTCACTGTAAAGATCGCTTTAGCGAATACATTTGTACTAATTAGCATATGTGACCATAGGCCAGATTCAATCTTTTGTTGCGCAGCATTGGCTGCCAGAGACAATTGTTTATTAAATACCTGTAAAAAATTAGATATCGACAATTCAATCTATTATTATGTGGTTGGTGAAGAAAAAAAAAATTTACTTGAAGTAACAGTTCTTGTCCAATTCTATGTTCCAGCATTCTCATAATTAGATGTGCCTTCTTGCGGAGAACTTCAATGTATCTAGGAGACATTGTATGTAAATTTTTAATCGGAAAATAAAATCCGGGATCGGGAGCTCGAGGAGCAGGTGCTGGAGTATTGGCTGCAATGGGCAATGGTGCTGGTGCTTGAGATGAATCCAATATTATACCACCAAATTGTTCTTCATATTTCACAACTTCTTGTAACTCCTACAAAGTTTAACAAAACAAGCATAACAAATATTCTGAAAAGAATAAAATATATTATTATATATTGTTATAACTTGTAACTATTTACAGATTGAATCCATTCTCTGTATTCATTATTTCCAAAGCATTTCTTGGCATATAATCCTGTTAGATATGTAGAGATACCCTTAGGCAGCCAAGTATCTGACCAATTGTGCATAGATATGAAACATCCAAAAAATTGTTCTGCAATTGCTTGCGCCATTGCTTTCTTAGTAATATATACTTGATCTATAATTGCGGTAGAATGTAACAAATTTGTGCTGCAAAAAAATAAATTATCAGAAGAAAATATAGAGAGTAACAGCATTAAATATATATAAAAAATATATAAATATATTACTTTTACTAATTTAATATATAAATATATATATAAATATATTAGTTTTACTTTAGAATGCTCATAGTAGCATAAGCATTGATGTCTTCATCTATCTCATCAACAAAGACCTGCTTGTAACAAGAATATGGATATCGATTTGACAAGATTTCTTCATAAAATTCAAATGCTTCGTGCATGTATTTCGCAGACACTTTTAAAGATGGCAAAAGTTGAGGTAAACAAAAATGAGTCACTTCATG